TTAACTTACATTTTAACTTACAAGCGAGTCGTGAAACGATCAGACTTTAATGAACCAGCGCCGGTGGATGTATGTGCCTCAAATGGACGGAGCGTAGTAGAATAGGAGTTCGTAGTAGAATAATTCTGACTAAAATACACATTTTGCTCAAATATTTTTGTTCGAAATTAAGTGTAGGTTTAAAATTCTATATGTAACAAGTAATCATATTTATGAGCAGTAACAGTAAAGGCACTATTGTTGGAATAGCCCATTAAAGTAATATAATTAATTATTATGTTCAGAAGAGTGAATGTGTTTTTTTCATGCCTTTGTACAAGTTAACATTGTGTTTTTGTTTATTTTTAATTTAGTTGTTTTAATTTCTGCTTTAAACGAGTAAGCAGTCAGTTGTTTTTAGGTTTAGAATGTATTTTAACCCTTTTTTTTCATATATTGTACAGCATAGCCTACATAGATACATGCACTTTATTTGTTTTCATGGGCTTTATATTACACATTGTTTGGAGGACAGCATTGGGTATGTTGTGGAATAATTTTGTAAAAAAAAAATATATATATATTTTTATTATATATATATATATATATATATATATATTTAATATATAATATATAATATATATATATTTAATATATATATTTTTTAATATATATATATATATATATATATTATTAAAAAAAATAACAATTTATAATCTTTTTGGTTTTTTTTTTTTCCTCCCATGAGATTAATAGTAAAATAATGAACAGATTAATCTATTATCAGAATAATTGTTAGTTTTACATTACATTTACATTTATTCACTTAACTGACGCTTTTATCCACAATTGCTACATATGTCAGAGGTCGCACGCCTCTGGAGCAACTAGGGGTTAAGTGTCTTGCTCAGGGACACATTGGTGACTCACAGTGGATTTGAACCCGGGTCTCTCACACCAAAGGCATGTGTCTTATCCACTGCGCCATCACCACCCCCATAGTTAGGTGACATGGTTCTCTGTTAAAGTTTAAAGCTTTAGTTTTAAGAAAAACTGGGATGTACTGTACCCTGTGGAATATACATACTATTAAATAGGAATTAAATTAAGAGCTTGTGAATTGAAATCAAATCAAATCACAAAATCTGTCAATAGTCAGCCCTACTAAAAGCTAGAATAAATATATTAAATGCAAAGTAAATTTAACCATCACACCATCATAATGAGATTTAGTGCGTTTGAAGATAACCGTGTTTGAAGATTAACTTGAAGTGAGTGTTAGATGAAGATAATTTAATGTAAATGGATATATCCCATGCTAACTGATATCATTCAGTTTGAAATGTGTAATATCAGCCGATAACTATATAGGACCAAATATTGTGCATCCCGAATTTGTGGAGTTTTTTACTGTGAAGTATGCGGTAGACTACAATGCAATAATGAGTCCCAGTTTACTGCAAATTTTCTTGAAACTAAAAAATTTCAAATGAAACTACGCAATGTTAAGCCATGACAATATATCTACATGTAAAAATTAAACAACTCCCATCAGAAGCTAAAATACATTCAGAAAGAGTTGAAAATATTCTCCTAAAACCAGCCTATCCAAAGATTTGAGTCAGCACTACTTTTTTGTTCTTTATAAATCAACAGATAAACAACATAACCGTTTCATGCAAAAAGCAGAACAGAACTGAGCCACAATGACTCGATCAAATGGTGATGCTGATGAACTGATGTATTAAGAGTTAAACTGTTGACCTGATTCTGGGGAAAATTCAACTTCGTTAAATTGAGCAATTATTATCTGATGGAACTAACTCTATTGTGTCATTACTCCTTTTTAAAACCTGATGCATGCTAATGTAAAATTGAACATATTCTAGTTAAATCTTTTTAAGCTGTAACTTTACAAGGAACTTCGCAGATCAGATATAGAAAACAAAACATGTTTGGGACATACAGTATTTGTTGTTCTATATCAGGTTGGCATGGAAACAAACACTGTCATTTCAGTGTTTCAGGCACTTGTGATTTGAAACACTTCTACTAAATGTAAATTTTTCTCTCTGCAGCAACTCATAACTATACTACTGAGATTTCTCTCATTGCCCGGTCATTGTTCATTAATGCATGCATCTTACAAACACGTTCTGAGCTAAACCTCTCTGTTACAGTCGATCATTTGAATGCAGAGCAGTAAAGCATAAAGCAAAATGTGAGCTTTGATTATTGCTTAGTGCGTTTCTCTGCCTGATAGGAAGTGGTTTCTCATCTGGTAATGAAGATAGCTAAGCTGCGGTCCCATGGGCGATGCAAGCAGCCGTTTCAACCCTGAGCTCTGCTAGGTGTTAAAACTAAAAAAAAAAAAAAAAAAAAACCCACTTCACTCCACTCTTAGTTAGGCAAGAGCTCATAACAATGCTGAAAAGAAGCAATGCTGATGCTCTGCATTTTCGTTGTCAAGGCTTCATTCAGTCTTACTTGCACATCAATCACAATAACTATTAACAGACTCGGGACTGATACTTGTGGGTGTTCTGAAAGGTGTCTACATCTCCTGTATGCTGGGGAGCTGGGTTAGTGTGTTGGTGTCTGGTGTCAGACAGACCTGTAGGTTTACTTTATAGTGGATCTTTCCAGTGAAAATAAAAACCACACTCACACCAGGTGACTCAGAGTCAGTCCAGAGGAATAAGACTGACATCATGGTGCTAAATTTTCCAGCAATGGGTAATGTCAAGTTAAGAGTGGGCGAGCGGTGAAAAAAATAAACGATTAGTTTGATGCTATGTCGGTAAAAATTAGGAATAGCTATGCAAATTCTTAAAGGACAAGTTCGGTATTTAAGATAGTTTCTGATGAAATAGAATGGTTAAGATTGAAAGTTGGTGATATGCTGCTGGCCCGAGAATTTTCGGTTTCTGTGGTTGCACCCCACCACCACCACCAACTCCACAATGGTTGCATAGGTGCACTGGAACAATCCTTCACAAAACGCATAAAACTTTAGTTTACAAAGACGTGAAACTCACCAAGTTGTCTGGGGTGTTCACTGATATGCTGCTCACACAACCACAGAAACCGAAAATCCTCGGGCCAGCAGCATGTCCCCAAATTTCAATCTTAACCCTTCTATTTCATTAGAAATGATCTTAAAACAAGGCTTTAAGTGTAAAATACCAAACATGTCTTTTAACGCTTCATAATATAATACAATTACTGAATTTATTTTGTGTGTACATAACTAGTGTGGATGACAAATAGTTTAAATTTGCACTAAACTGCATTAAAACACACACCAAAAAAACATTGCACTGCAAAATAATGCAGGATTTCTCCTTAGTAGTTTATGGACTTAATCTTGCATGTGTAAAGATGCTGCCATAACAATGATGTTTGCTATCATTTACTGATAAACGGGTGTTCTTTTTTTGTGCTCCAATTCTTATTAGCTACAAAAGGTTTTAGTAAATCTAAGGTTTAAGTACATCTAAGACAAAATAAATGCATTTAACAGCACTAATAAACTTATAATAAACTGCATTCAATAGATGTTTTAGCCTGAATTAAAATAGATTTCAATCATGAAAATAAGCTTTCATTTGGTGTGTTCTTGATTGATATTTAAACAGAGAATGAGAGAAAGAAACTACCCATTGTTTCATCTTCATTGTCTCGTACCAACAGCCACATAGTGAATTAAAGTATGGTGAGCCAGATCTGTTGCCCACAGCCCTCAGGGTAAAAGCCATGTTGGTAGCCAAAACCACAGAACCACAGCTAAGAGCTGCACATGCCTAAAAGGAGCATGCTTGTCTAATCTGATATATTGCGAACTTGATGCAATTTCAGCACACATAAATCACTTGCATTCATCTAGCAAAATACAAATCTCTCAAGGAAAGGAAACAGCTAAATGTTAGATTACGCAGACTGTCCAACATCATACCACTTCATACACAGGTTAAAAAAAAAGTATTGAAGAGAAAAGCTTGCAACCCGAAATGAACAAACTGTCATAAAGGTGAGATTTAGTTTCGAATATATATATATATATATATATATAAATCCTGCTTTATATCCGTCTCAGGAAGTCAAACACCGACACTGATATATAACAGCACTGATGACATACATGGCCAATCTTTAAACTAATTTGTCTTCCTGTTTGGGGAACGCAACATTTTTAGACAGCAGCATTTTCTCTGAAGAGATCAAACACGTCTCACTTCTCACTTTAATCCAGTAAATCTTACTAATATAATCTTTCCCTCAATTCAAAACACACCTGCATTTCATTTACGGTTGACATACATGTATACTAATGTACTGTCAAAGCTGCAATAAGTTTCAACTGATTTACTTGAAAAATGTGTACGTATCTTACTGATGCCTGTGCATAAGGAAGTTTTTCTTTAACATGTTGCAAAGATAAGAAGAATTACAGATGTTATTTATAACATCTGAAGGCGTCTAACATACATTATGTGCACTTTTTGGGTGGGTTATGGTTCAATGAAAATTATTTACAAAAATGACTTGATGATCTTACCAAGAAATGTTTTTGAAAACGCACAATACAAAAACGGGGTCTTTCAAACATAAAAGGCAGCAATGCACCATTCTTGACTAAAAACAGCATCCTCAGGACGTTTTTTTTTTTTTTTAAACAGTCAATTTCCAGTCAGACTGAACCATTTATGAACTATGTTTACAAAGAATCCCTGTGCGACAAAAAAACCTCATTTACACACTAGAGATTAAATATTGTGGACAAATATAGTCAAAATGATATGATAGCAGAAAAATATAATCAAATTTTTCAAAATAATATCAAACGGGTATTCTAGAAACTAAAAAAAAAAAAGCAATACTATGAAAGGTAACTATGAGCAGCTCTGCTCAGGAGAGACTACTGTCACGTATTGGACAGATAGACTGTCCGGTGATGTGCTGGGCTTGGCTGTGTAAGACTAAATTGGACTAATGGAGTGTGATTCTTTGCTTAGTTGTACCTGAATCTCAAGCTCAGAGATCTGCTGCTGAAGCTCGGCCATGGCAGCAATATTGTCAGCTTCTCTCAATCTCACTGCCATTACCTCTTCTTTATTCTGTTGGAGAGAGAAAGAGAAAAAACTGAAATGAAACAACTGTGAGCATATATTCTGCTTTTATTGAATGGTTTATTTTGTATGTTTAACTGAAAGCAGAAACGCACTCTGCATCTACTCTGCTGATCTCTAAAAAATGAAGCGCTGACAGGAACTACTAAACCCTATTTAAAGCTAAGTCATGAATGAGGAAATGCAACCAAATCATACAAAGATGTGGTAATGAGGCATATTTTGCTTTTTAATTTTTTTTTGTATCATAAAAAGCATTTTTTTTTTTTTGCAGATTGCTAATTGTATAAAAGGTGTAATGTAACTAGAATAAAATCATAGTACTATTTGGATAAAGACAGCATTTTTGCCCTTTGCTGTGGTACCATATTGACTGCGACTACTCAGTTAATGTCATGTAAATGATCATCACCTTGCACTCTATTTCAGCCTGCTTCCGTTTCATCTCCTGTAGCTCTGCATGCAACATCTTGTTCTGGTTGGTCAAAACCTGCAGTCGCTCCTGTAGATTTCTTGCCTCCAGTTCTGCTCGCCGCAGTTGATTACTATGTCTTTGATTCTGTAAGTGTGTAAAAAAAATTATGAATTCAAAACTCAAAGAATTTGCAGTTTTCCTTAAAAAAAAAAAAAAAAAGACAGCAGTGCCAACTCTGATAATAAATACAGCATATCATGTCAGAGTAAAAATGCATTAACTTTGTCTCCCTCTACTGGCCTAATATCTGTACATGCTCTCTAGTCTCAGCTACAGACATTACACACTAGCTGGACTGATGCATATGCCTCACAAAACAGGAAACACTTTCGAAGGCAAAAGTCTGAATCTGATTGGTGGACTTCTACAGGTTTTCTGGGAGCCATGTGTGCTTTTTCCTGGTAGACAGTTAAAGTGATCTTTAACTATCTACCAGGAACAAAGCAGTGTTTAAATTTGTAATACTGTAGCAATGAACACTTCAGAAAGCAACTAAAAGAAACTTCTAGACATAGAGTGTTTTGTTTGTGACACTTTATTTTATTTTATGAATTTAAACAGATTTAAATAAAGAAAAGTATTCCTTTCTAAGCTTGGCTAACCCTTTGGATTCCCAATTGTTCTGATGTTATTAGTGTTCTCTCATCTATAAATGGAAGATCAGGAAAAGTACAGTAGTGATAAGGAAATATATGCTGCATATGCAGGTAAACAATGAGTGCATCAATAGTCTGTTATAGCAGAAAGGTCTGTAATTTTGTCACCACATGTGCCCACTCCAAAACATGATGTTGAAAAAAACAAAATTGTGATTGGTCACTTTACATGTCAGTCAGACGGCCTCTTCCTGAGAGAGCCCAGATGTTGTTAGGCAAAGGTCTGGCTGTGCGTGTCTATGGGACGGTTTCACAGACAGAGCTTAGATTAAGCCTTAGTTCAATTAAGACATTTAAGTAGCTTTTATATACGTCCCTAAGAAAAAAAAAAACAATGGCACTGACATGTTAAGATTGTCAGTGCAAGTTGCTTTCAATTAAAACGTGCAGTTTAGTCTGGGACTAGGCTTAAGCATTGTCTGTGAAACCGGAGTTATATATTCCAACATATTTCCTTTTTAAATTCAGTGGCCAGCAGTAAAGGGCTCAAACCAATCATTTCAGTTTTATTCGAATAAAGTGTCATTTTGTTGCACTGCAGTCAATTATTTTGAACTCATTTTATTTATTTATTTTTATTTTATTTATTTTATAAATAAATAAATAAAATAAATAAATGAATGCCTGACACTGCAAAGGTGTGAGGGACGCGTGTCAAGACCTGGGTGTCCAGTTCCAGCATCCTCTGTCTGGTCTCTTTGAGCTCAGCCTGTGCCTCTGCCTCTTTGAGCCTCACGCTCATCAGCTCATCCTGAAGCTCGCTCATTGCATTTTTCCGCGGACTGTCTTTCCACCGGCCTGCTGTGCGCGCCAGATGCCTCTGCACACAACGCCAAAAATATCTTACTGAAACATTTGTGTGTTAATTGGAAGCATGAAAGCAGGAGAGCATGTGGTATTACAGCAACGCAGTAAACTTGTGGGAATTACACACACTGCAATATTGAGAAAGAAACAGCTATCTATGTGAGTGTGTATATTCACCTGCCAATGATCCTCCAGGTCTCTAACCTGCTGTCTAAGCTCTTTAAGCCCTGTAAGAGCCTCTGCCTCCCTCAGCTTTACACCAATTAACTCCTCCTGAAGACGTACCACATTATTCTCATCTGGCAAGGATGTATTTCTCTATAACAGAAACAGATACATGCAAAAGTCAGCTTATACACCAGAAAGATATTTTCTGCAGTCTGCTGTAGCTGGCGCCAAACCTGGAATTAATTCAATGTGTAGAAAATAAGCAGAAAAGGCAGCTATGTTGGTCTTAAACAAATAAGCGGAAATCACATTTTAGGAGTTGGGACACAGTAAAGTTTTCAGAAAAACAGCAGCCTGGGTAATGCTAAACAAATCTAGATTGCACCAAACTTGGTCACTTTCAATAAAATCATTGAAGCAGTCTATGCAAGAAACATCTGATGCAACATTTAAGTTGAAAAGATATTAAAAATAAAAGTGTTACAATTTAAAACATTTCTTTCCATTTTAATATAATTTAAAATGGATTCAAATTGCAATATATATTGATGTTTTAATATTGTATCTGTTGCAGAAGAAAATTAGCCTAGAAATCTAGACGCACCCTAGCGGCAGCAAACATTATTTTGCAGCAAAGTGTGGTCTAGCAACTCTCCGTTGGCTTTCGAAGTGAGTAGTATGAAGCTGCAGACTCGGAGACCTGCATCTACAGTCCCCCTGCACCCAGAGTCCCGCATTCTCAGACCCCTCGTTTTTCGAGACAGCGCCTCCTATCAAATTGTATCGGATAAACATAAACGTGAGTAGGCTATCTTTTATTTAGCGAATCGTAGTATATAGCCTACTTGTTTGATTAATTTTTTTTTAATAAAACTAATTTAGCTCATCGATACAACATATGAATAGTCCATTGAATATTTGTAAAGTTAGTTTGTAACAAGATTTGAGCCGTTAATGTATGTTTTTTCACCCTTTCCCCCCCGAAAATATTTAGATAGGCTAGCTAACGTTTATAATTTAGCTTTGAAACATCATAAGACATGTGCTATCGTCCTATGTTGAAGGCTATTCCAGGGTACACCATACATCGATGGAGTTGCCCCTGCCGAACCCAGCAACATCATTTTAGGATTATGCAAAGCGACTTATAAATGAGTTTTTTTAATGCAATTGAAGACGAAAAGTAAAGTCACGAACACATTTTTTCCTTCCTTTTTTCTTTACAGCAAGATGATGTTTAGGTGATCATTAGCCTAAATAAAGTAGGAATTGTTTATTTTATTGGTGTTTTGTCTATTCTGATTTGTTTTGCTTCGCATTCAAAATATAAAAAAACAGATTTTGTAATCTTAGCATCGTAAAATTATAATTAGAAAATTATAGGTTGAACTGAAGGAAAAATTGTAATTTGAATAAAAAAAATATATATATATAAAAAACATTGTAGCAATATAATATCACATACTATTTTTCTGAAGATAGTTCAATCTGTAATTGTATCCCTTCCATCAGTAACAATTAGTTTTTTTCTGCACATAGATTAAGCAGGGAACGCAAATATTTATTGGATAATTTATTTGGAGACCGTAATATTGCATCCTATTGTTTTTAATTGCATTTGGATAATCGTACGCTGTACTCTGTGTGTGGGTGTTATTCGACAGTTTGAACAGCAAGAGGCGCTGTGTTCGAAAAACGAGGGGTCTAAGAATGCGGGACTCTCGGTGGGGGACTGTAGATGCAGGCTCCGAGTCTGCAGCTTCATAATATTGTTCGAAGTGGAAAAACCAAACTCTGGTCCGGCCAATCACATCGTGTATAGAGTTGGTGGGCGGGCTTAACACAATGACGGCAGAGTTGTGACGGTTCTGGGCCGTGATTTCCATAGTTGATTTCCTTGATACTTGAAAACAAACAAGATGCTGCTGGCGAACAGCGGTCATTCGATTCGGCTTTGGCCGCGACTCGGATGGCTTGGAGTTAAGAGAATGTCACTTAAGTCATTCTTAAAAAAGGACGTGTTCAGAGTTTCAAAAGTTTAATATATCAACTTGCTCCGCTAGAGAGAAAACCATGGGGAAAACGCTTGGGACTCACTCATGACTCACTCGTCCACAGCCATTCATTGCTCTGGTTGGTTAACGCAATCCTATGGCGTGCAGAGGGATATTGAAAGACAACCTTTTATCCCGCCCCCAGGATTGAGGTATGCCAATTGTGAGTTCCCAGACCTAACATCTTGATAGGTCTGGCTTGCCAGGAAAATGTGATTATTATAAATACCGAAAACAGTTGTGCTGTTTTTTTTGTGGTAACCATTTTAGTTTAGGATTCTTTGATGAATAGAAAGTTCAGCAATATTTATTTGCAAAATAATTTCTGTAAAACATTTTTTTTTTTTTTTTTTACAACATGTGTTGAATTGTAAAACAACTCCAACCACACAGTCCATCTAAAATATTTAAGAGAACATTTAAAAATATTTAAGGAATTTTGGAATTGATTGCTATAATTTTAATTAGAAATGGACCGATACCATATTTCTTTTTATTTAATCAGTTTAAAGTTACAGGGACCGCGCACATTAATAAACGCTTACGTAAATGTGCCAGTTTAGCCATCTTGGCTAATTTTCAACTGTAGTCACTGGGCAGATGTAATAACCGATAAAATACATTCAGACAATCAACAATACTTATACATACATTAAAACAAATTACATAAAAGCTCATAAAATACATTCAACAAGAACAACAAATCAAAACATGATTCAGATGATATAAAAAACTACAGAATATGAATATTCTCTGCTGATACTGATAGTTTGAACTTAAGCAAAAATAAATCTCTGCCAACTAATGCTGTAAACATGAACGAGCCAGCACCAGTGGAAAATAAAACTGCCTACAGGTGAATGTGTGTGCTTGAGAATGGTAATAAAGTTATCACCTTCTCCATGTCTAGGATCTTGTCCTGCATCTCTTTCAGTGCACACTGAGACTCAGCCTCCTTAAGTCGGGCCTGAACCAGTTCTCTCTCCAATTGCAGGATGAACTCCTCAGTGTAGCGTGGGTTCCCTTTCTAAATAAAATAAAAAATAAAAATTGTTAATCAAATCCCAGCCTGTCAGTAATTAATGTCAGTGTAATAATACATATGGCTATAACATTCGAACAGCTTTTGTGGTTTGACTTTACCAACTAAATAAAATCTTCAAAAAAAAAAAAAAAAAGGTTCTCTCCACTCAAGCTCATGGTTTTACCACCTGCAACATTAAACCGTAATGAGATTGCAACACAACATTATGTAAAACAGCACTTTCCCCACAGCACATGACACATTATCCACTTTTTCTCAGTGTTGAGCATATGCACATTAATAATTGATGAGCCATATCCCATCCTCCTGTTGAGAATGTAGATTTTAACAAACAGGCAGCGGCTTCAAGACTAAAGTTACACTCATACTTGACAAAACTCCTACATATACATAAACCCCATTTGGCAAGTGTTGTGCATGCAAATGTCCCCAGCTCTGCTGTTCTGATCTGCAGTCATGCATGTAAAGAGCATCATTACAAGAGCTGCCATTTGCAGCTCAGTGGTCGCTGAGATTTCGCTGCTAGGCAACCGCGAAAGAATCAAGTACAGCTGCCACTGCAAACTGTTACACGAGGGAGCAAAACATTTCTCAGTGTACGGTTTCTGTGTTCACAGAGCAGGCCTCTCATCCAGGAGGAGGCGCTGTCTCTGAACTGTCCTTACCGCAAATGGCTGCTGTTGCTGAAGCTGTCGGATGGCGTTTTGCGCTTGCTCCAGCTGTGCACTGGTCTCCTCATTGTGTTGTTTGACTGTGGCCAGCTCCCGCTTGACCAGGTAGTTCTCCTCCGCCTCTTGGGCTCGTATCACCTGACCCTGACGTGACCAATTATGGATGAGGGGTGAGCGGAGAATCGGAATGGGTGGAAACGGATGTATTGATGGAGAAAAATAATGCTGGGTCTCAAGCTCTGTCATGCTGTTAGCAGTTTTAGGCTTTCAATTTCGCACAGAAAATTGCTTTGGCTATCAGAAGGGGGATTATTGTAGTTGTATCTAATATTGTAGTTGTAACCATTACTGTAACCAATAATCAGGATTGCAACCCAAAGATAATAAGCACAGTGATACCTTTTCCCTGAAGTCAGAAATTGCAGTTTGCCTTTATTTCACTGTTGATTGTGAGTAGGTGTGAGATATTTAAGCAAATCAAGAAAATGAAGCAAAGCTAAAGACAGAACTGCTGGGTTCTTAAAGGGGAAAAACAGTGCTAAAGGGTGGAGAGGAGAGTGAAAATTGTACCTGAATCAATCTATCTGCCAAAGAAGCACTTTCCTAAAAACAGAGAAAATCCATAAAGGAAACAGCAGGGGGAGGAGAGAGACCAAAGGATATTACAACACAGAACAAAACAATAAGACTGATTTGACAGAAAACAGTGTTCTTTTTCGTACCCCTACATAAAAACATGGTAAAGACACTGTTTTAGATGAACATTTGCTATATAATAAATAAATATGCAGCTTTGAAACCATCATAGTGAGGTGGGGTAGAAAAGGAACATGGTTTGTGCATGGTGTTCGTGCTGTGGCTATGGAATAAAGCAAGACTGCGCACCACAACAGAGTGAAAAGTGTAAAAGGAGGTCAAGCAGACGACAGTCAGAAAGCCGAGAATAAATAAAACGGAATAAGTGTTATTTTAAAGGGTTTAGGTCTAGTATATTTGTGTGACAAACGCAGCCCTGGGTTACGAATGGTGATTTTCTGAAGGTGTTAGTACTTTATTTTAGTACAATGGTTCCATGCTGAGAGGTGATGAAAGCCACGTGGACCACGTTTTTTTTTGTTTTTTTTTTTTTTAATGACCTGCACTGTGGGCTTTCTTTTCATGCATGACACAAACATGCCTTTACAAGCTGAGAATATTGTGACATGCAGCACTGCATGTTTGGGTTTTCACCCATGCTCAAAAAAGTCTGTCAGACAACCACTCTGGCCAGAAATAAGTACATGTAGAGTACAAACATTTCATACCCATGTGCGCACGCAAAATATTTTTCTTTCTGTTAGCACTGTACTTACCAGCCTCAAAATACACAACAGGTTATCAAATGACATGCACACAAGCAGTTAGTTATGATGCACCCAGTGTGCAAGAACATTTCTTATTTTTGACTTGACACCAAAGAGTTGTGATGACTGATAGCAAGGAGATTACCCATTTCAAGATAAGCAAATCATGGATGACAATGGTGTATGGATGTGTTTGATTGATTAATGATTTGCTTTGCCTCTTATTTATCACTCACTTTCTCCAGAGTATCTATTCGCTGCTTCAGGAGTCTGTTCTCTGTGCGTAGTCTCTGTAATAGAGTGTCAACATTAACAGTGTTAGACTGCAAAACATCAATAAAATATTGCAATCTACTAGACAATGCTATGAGCTATTTGGCAATATTATTGTTTAGAGTGGGTTTCAATTAAACATATTTAATATTTAGTATTTCAATTATTTTCTACTTTAAAATTGGTAAAATGAGAGAAAATAAGAGGTAATTATAGACAATGGACTCTTTTTTAAATTTACGGGGTTCTCAAAAGTGGAAGCAGTCATAGTTGTAATAATGTCAACAGTGGTGAAAAAAAAAAATCCATATCTCATTTCCACAACGAAAAATATAGAGAGATTGATTACAGTCAGATTGTCAATATTACTATTGCTCCCTCGGCAGCTGTTTTTTTTAAATTATTTTTTTTATGCCATGGTAATTTAAAACAATGTATAAAGTATAAATCTATAAATTATAACTTTTTTTTAATACTAAAAGCTTTGCTAGACTTACAATGTCAATAACTGTTTAAAAAAAAATAAAAATCATTTTAGCAAAATGCAAGCTGGGTTGACTGTCTCACCTTGATCTCCACCTGCTCTTCCATCTCCTTGGTTTTGATTGTAGTGTACTCCTTTTCCAATCTATAAAGGCATAAAGAAACAGTTCAGAATACGTTTGTGTCCAAAATCATACTAAAAAAAAAAGAAATTCACTTAACATAATGTAAACTCACTTTTTCATTTTCTTGGCATTGTACTTGACTTGATAAGCAGCCTGAATCACTTTGTCTGGTCCACTTTCCAGCTGGTGAGGGATGACTTTCTGAAAGTGCTGCAATAGAGAGTGAAAATAACAAAGCCACGTATTATTATTGAATTATGCATATTTGCACAACAAATTAATTTGTGTACGGCTTAGCGGAAACTGATAACAGTCTAGATTCTAATCATGGTGTGGTAGTTTCTACAGAATGTATTGGCTAACATAGCCACTATAATTAAGACAAATACAAGTTTATCCTTGAAAGGAAATCTATGATAAATACCCCACCTGCAACATTCCCTCCATGTCCAACTGCATGAGCTCAGTCTGATTCATCTGCAGGATGGCCATCCCCACACGAAACACTACCTCTAAACCCTGTAAGGACACCTACTGGTGAAAACTAAAGATCCAAAAATATTTGCAGTAGCATTGTGAAGCCAACAGAGGGAGATAGCAGACCACTAAAATACACCAGTGTGTTCTGTGTTCTGAATTAGCTTAGCATGTAAAACATGTGTGTGCCTGCGTGAGAAAGAGAGAGAGAGAGAGAGAGAGAGACATAGAGAGAGAGACATAGAGATCACAAAGTCTTACCTCACACATGAATATATCAAAGATCCTGGTAGCTACAGGAAGAGGGAACGAAGTAAGGAAAATGGTGAGAAACCAGGATGAAGCATACATGGAGGTATGGAAACTCTGGGCCTGGAAGTGCACATGGAGCTCTGGGAGCTGCTCCTGAAGGGAGAAACCAAAAAAAGACTGTAAAATCACAGAGAGAAAGCAAGAATGAAATTCATAAAACGCATTAATTTAATTTATTGGGGAGTTACACCATTAAGCTAAGCTTAAAAGTCAGATTTTGACAGTCGGTCTCAGACAGTCACTGACCTGAATCATAAATTCAAACTGGTACATGCATAGGCCCAGTTCAGCCATACTGGGTTTAAAGAGCTCTCTCAGCCTGTAATCTTGCATCAGCTTCACAAACACACAAAAAGCCTCTTCTTCTGGCATCTGTGAGAAGACAATTATACATCATATAATTACAGACTAGAAACACACTAGTACCAACAGATATAAATTATTTGAAGAAATAATAATAACCATTATTATTATTCTGTAATAGCTATTATTAGTGCAAAAAATTATATTTATATTTATATATATATACAGTATATATATATATATATATACACACACACTCACCTAAAGGATTATTAGGAACACATGTTCAATTTCTCATTAATGCAATTATCCTGGTCAAGACAATCTCCTGAACTCCAAACTAAATGTCAGAATGGGAAAGAAAGGTGATTTAATCAATTCTGACCGTGGCATGGTTGTTGGTGCCAAACGGGCCGGTCTGAGTATTTCACTATCTGCTCAGTTACTGGGATTTAAGCACAACAATTTCTAGGGTTTACAAAGAATGGTGTGAAAAGGGAAAAACATCCAGTATGCGGCAGTCCTGTGGGTGAAAATGTCTTGTTGATGCTAGAGGTCAGAGGAGAATGGGCCGACTCATTCAAGCTGATAGAAGAGCAACTTTGACTGAAATAACCACTCGTGTTACAACCAAGGTATGCAGCAAAGCATTTGTGAAGCCACAACAAGCACAACCCTGAGGCGGATGGGCTACAACAGCAGAAGACCACACCGGGTACCACTCATCTACACTACAAATAGGAAAAAGAGGCTGCAATGAGTAAGAGCTCACCAAAATTTGGCGTGAATTGGGCGTGAACAGAATGAGAACATGAATCCATCATCCTTTGTTACCACTGTGCAGGCTGGCGGTTTAGGCCCCTTAGTGCCAATTGGGCATCGTTTAAATGCCACGGCCTACCTGAGTATTGTTTCTGACCATGTCCATCCTGTTATGGCCACCATGTACCCATCCTCTGATGACTACTTCCAGCAGGATAATGCACCATGTCACAAAGCTTGAGTCATTTCAAATTGGTTTCTTGAACATGACAATTAGTTCACTGTACTAAAATGGCCCCCACAGTCACTAGATCTCCACCCAATAGAGCATCTATGGGATGTTGTGAAACGGGAGCTTCGTGCCCTGGATGTGCATCCCACAAAATTGCTTAAAATCACCTTTCTTTCCCATTCTGACATTCAGTTCGGAGTTCAGGAGATTGTCTTGATCAGGACCACACCCCTAAATGCATTGAAGCAACTGCCATGTGATTGGTTGATTAGATAATTGCATTAATGAGAAATTTAACAGGTGTTCCAAATAATCCTTTATAAATAAATGTATAACTAACATCACAGAATTATTCATATCACATTAAAAATGGTTTACATTGCATTTTCTTAAAGGAACCATATGTAAGATTGGGGCCAAAACTGGTACTGCAATCACTTTCAAATTACTGTAGAGCTGTGTATACGTTTTTTTTTGGATTCGTAACATTAGACATTTTTTTATCCGACACGTTTGTAGATGCAGCTGTGGTAACTAGAGCAGAGCTGGCAACCCGGAAGCCGCAACACTACCTACTTTGTGAATGGTAAATAGGTGGAGGGTGGCGCATTGGACCAAAACTCAACATGACAACATCAACATCAACATCAGTTGAGGGCTGCAACTTCACTTTTTAAATGACAATTTCCTGGCCAGACTACTGTTGTTGTCAGTGATATAAGTATTTGAAATGAACATGATTTATTAATGTCTAGTGACATATCAGGGCCATTTTATGATTAATTGAAATACATTTCTTACATACAGTTCCTTTAAATATTATATTGTAGTGTTTCATAATACAGCTTTATGTGCGTCATATTTTACACTCTTTTAATACCTGCATTAGAAGAAGGCCGACAATGAAAGCGCTTCCCTGACAGTAACCCACTTCTCTATCGACCAGCGAATAAGCCTGTAAACACAAACGTGAGATTTGGTGAGAGCTGGACAATCGTTTTCAAAATCATTAAATGCAGAATCAGCTCTGTTCTTCCCCGAGACAAGCCTGTGAGTTGCCCATCCACTCTTTAAATACAAGTGATCTTTCGGTGTTTTGTTAGGGTGAGCTGGCTTTAAAAGTCATTAAACTTAAACTGAAGTCAGGTGGTGTAGTGTGTTAAGATCTGGAGGTTCATATTCTAAATGACCCATACCTATAAACAGGGGTGCACATTATGGTGGCCCTTATTTTTAAACTTTTGAAATTTTCTCCTCTCATTGTTTTAGAAATCTAAAACACCTGCCAGAACAGCAGTCGATATTAGATCTACAGTCAGATGGGTTAACGTTACCAAAAACATAACTGAAGGTTGACGAGCATAAACACACAGGACATCGTAGTAATTATACTGTTGATACAATAACCCAGTTGCTAAAATGCAGTCTTCATTTGATTGTTTTAACGTTAATTGTCACCGAGTAAAAATAAAAGGCTAAACTAACATTACTGATTGCATACAAGTGTAAACAAACAACTGATAGTTAGATATCACTAATATCGGGTGCCATTAGCAAAAGCTACATACTAAATTATATAACGTTATCTTCATAAGTATGAATAAATGAAGTGTAAAACTTCCTTTATTCTTTATCTAAAAATTCTTTATCTATCAAATTACTCGGGGCACTGGAATTCCGTTTGGCAATACGGTGTACATCTGAAATTGATTTTAGAGGTGGCTCCTGTAAACATCGGCTATAGAAGGTCACCATTACTACGCTGTTTTTACCTCAGTAGCTGACGGCCGTAAGTAATTAAACCCGTTTTGTAGAACCCGGAAGAATGGAAGTTGTGTTCTGTTCTATTTGCAGTGCGTTTCTGTTATTGGTTGGTACATGCATTGCAAAACTGATGAAGCCGTTTTCTTAATTTGCGGGTGTTTTTTTTTCTATTTGCATGCATTTTCTTCAGTTGCAGCGGGTCGAGCGGTCTTGGACACCAAATTACCGTAAAACTTCAAATAATAGCCGAGTCCCAAATAGGGTCACTTTTACATGCCTGGTTTGGCTGCAGGTTTGGGTAAATAAAAGCCAGTCTCAAATAGAGGCCGGGTCTGTGTTTTAGTTTCGGGTTGTTTATCTTCTAAAACCGTCAGATCGTCCGTTTTTTGGCGGCCGCCAAAGCAAATTTTTGTCCCGCCAAAGCCTACTTTGATCGGTCAGTGATGTAGAATAGAAACTGCTGCGCTTGACAGGACGCAAACGAGCAGTGAGAGAGAGAAAAAGAGCGTCCCGGCCGCGCACACGCACTCACGTCTTCAAACACGAGCGGGGTCTCGCTCTCTCTTCCTCGCGCATATTAATCAAATCAATTGACACGATAGTAAAAGGTTGGAAGACCGCAGTTTCATGTGGAGCATTTATTGAAGTTTTACGGTATGTGCATAACTTGGCATACAAGGTGTTTTAGGCAAACTACAGAGATGCAGTGCAAATCTTGATCCAGTAAATCTAATTAAACTTACTGATGAGCAGTCTTGGAGTAAATGCCTTTTTTACATGATCAAATTTTATGTCAATGTGCTGATAAATTGGTCGACATCCTATCACCCTGTCCATTTAAACTCTCTCTTTCAATCCCCAATGGAAATCATTGCTCAATTTGGCCAAGGAAGGAGAAAAACCTACCTTCATAACATTAAAGAGCACCTCCTGACCCAAACTATCCTTCTCCTTAAAGAACTCATGCTCGGGGTAGGTACGGGCAATGTCCCTGCGGATGAGTTTTTCACAGGGCGAAGTCATCTTCAGCAACTCAGAGTATTGCTCCTTTATGGGTAGATTCTGGGCATTGCACAACAGCTGCCACACTATTGCTCGGAAGTGATGCGGAATGCCTTTCCTGACCAGTTCCTATGAAAACAACAACAACAAACCACTTTTAAATAATAACACTGAAAGTCAGGACAAAACATCCTTACTTAAGAGCAAGTTCTTTTGTTCTCAGACTTGCCACATCTACAGAGTATAAGAGGATATTCGTTTTTTTTGAAGTGTTACACCTTGAAATAACTGAAGGTTTCAAGATTGTCAGTATTCAGATGTTCTCCCAAGGGACTAGTTTGTAACTCAGACAGGATAAGACAATTTTATGCTGCTAAATATAATCTTGTCAGACTTCTACAGCACAGCTCAATATTTTTGTAAGCGAATTATATTTGACCTGATTAAGCTGTTTCCTGTGCTCATCTGCACAGCTCAGATGGCTGATTCATTCTTGTGAGGGTCTGAGATGCGAGTCCACCTACATATACTGTTAGCACTGAGATTCTTCAAAAGCACTCTAGGGGTGTGTTGGAGATTGTGTCTTTGTTAAAAAGCCAGGCTTCACAAAGGGCTTCTGTTGCTGCTTTGCTAGAAGAGCCCTAGATCCTCCTTTTGGCTTGTAAGAAGTCATACAGTAAACACAAAATGGCATTTTTCAGTCTCACTGAGCTCAGTATGTTCTGTGGGAAAGTGGCAATACTGTGCAGGCAACAGCAAAATTTGCTTATGTGATTTATATTATTTTCTTTCTTCCCATCGTTTCCGTGAAAATGTTAATATAAGAGTGAGATGTGTAAAACACTGTAGAAATATTAATTAAGGAAGAAATGGAAAATATTTCAGAAGGCCTAAGTTTTTGTGTAGTTTTAGAGGAATGTTTCGGAAAGCGCTACTTGATGAAAGACTTTCACCAGCCATCGAAAGTTCTTATGATACATTTTCATCGTTTGGATTATGTTTCTGGAGACCTACTTATAAATATTGGTCCTTCATTGGTCAAAACAGTCAAATGGAGCTAAATGTGCTACATATCAGGAGCAAACAACACATGGTAGGCTCACTATGAAGGTTATAAACCGCATTCCATCACACCCCATGGGGTTTTTTATAAACTCATCTCAATTGGTCTAGAATAGCTACTCTGTGGCAATGGCAATGCATTGCTGAATACATTTACATTTTTTTTTTATCAATAAACACCTCAGCATTACTGATAAATCACTCACATGTTATTTAACATGGGCCATATGTTTTATGACCCTCTTTGTAATGCGTTTCACTATTTTGCAATAGCAACAGCAATCCATCTGTTTAGCTTTGTCCTTGTGCACTATATTTGATGTTGCTGCAGCTGTTCCATGTACTCATCTCATGTACTCAATCTCATGTACTGTTGTGATTACATAAAAAAATAATAGCTGGAATTCCATATGTTCAGTTTATATAATAAATGGCATAAATCTGATTTGCACACTGTAGCTTGATGTATAGTATATCTGCTTACCTTTAGTTGTTTTTCCTTCTTCTTCCACACATCTTCCCACTCGTTGACTATGCGTCCCCACAGGATCCATGAATCCTCCTCCAAGTGCGACAAATTGGAGGAGGCTGAGGAACTAGAAACCAGTGATGAGCCACTGTTCCTTCGAGAGCCATTCACAGATTTTAAAGACTTACTGTCCGTCTCCAACAACCTGGAAAGACAACCATAGCAGATAACAGTATTACTTCTTTTAAAAGAAGCACAAAGAAAACCGAAAAACTGTTATCAATAACTCCTCGTTTTTTCCTCGGGAGATATCATCGCTTGCAAACAAGCGAAGCATGGCAGTTGATCAGTGTTCGGATGTACAAATGAACACAAAAGTATTTTTTAGTTCCTTCATCCGAGCCTCTGAAGAAACAATGAGTTAATTTTATTTTCTCTGGAAATGCCCAGACACATCTTCCCAAAGTTTAGTATGGTCCAAACATTTCACAGACAACTGATTTCTCAAATTGGACCAATACAGAGCTGGCCTCGATGAACGTCTGAAAATAAAACGATTGAGCTACCACTTGAGCAACAATTTCTAATGTGTAGCCTAAGTGTTCAAGTTCAGACAGGTAATCTTTCTCTTAAAATAGTTCAATACTATTTATGCATCAGTAAGTCAAACCAGTGATTAAAACATCAACTTCACACCATTTCTTTTAGTAGGATAAAAGTAATCTTATTTAAATTGAGAACAAATTATATACAGAAAGCAACCAAAGAACAATCTTACCACACAGGGCGAGTTTATCTGGACAACTCGTTATGAAATCATTGATGCACGTTACACAGTACAACGAAGCTCTTACTGCATGTACGTCATCATCATTTTTGACTGATTTATTTGCGAGTAGTAGAACTTTAATTGATTCTTTCATTGAACAACAAAACAAAAAAAAAGCATTAATGTTGAATAAAATAAACATTCCCTCTTACACAGAAATTAAACTGAATTTTCAACTACATGTAAGTTCCCTGTTATAGGTTAACCTGCAATTTTGCACATTTATTCCCATTAAATCCCACGGAAAGTATCCAACTTTGACAATTCCAGAATTTTGCAACCCTAATGCCAACCAACATGCACTGAATACTGATACAATGAAAAAGTTCAAGTTCAAGGAGTCTTCTTTTATTATCCCCGGGGGGTAATTTGTTGTGCAGCCAGCAGCACACAGGTTATACAAAACAACAGCCACACAATCAGTAAGAAACAAAGTCAAAATATACTACACAGAAGTCCACAACTCACATTGACTTATTAAAAAACCTATAGCATCAGGGACAACAGAGTTTTTGTCTGTTTGTCCTGCATTTAGGCAGACTAAATCTGTGACCCGACGGCAACAAATTGAAGCAGCTGTTCAGTTGGTGACTTGGGTCGGCCAGGACTGATTGTACCTTCTTAAAGGGATACTCCACCGGGTTTTCATATTAAACTATGTTATTCCCTTAACTAAGACGAGCTGATGCATACCTCTCTCGTCTCAGTGCGTGCACTCTATCGCTCGACCTAGGCTGGTGACACAAAATAAAACGTTGTGTTTTTCTAAGCGTTTAAAATTGATGACTATATTGTATGACAGAATACCATAAAAAGTGCCTTAGAGCACTTCAACTTGGCGCAATAATACCTTCATTCGTGAAAAGTCCTGTTACTGGCTCCCGCTTCCTCGCTCTCCCCCCTCCCTCTTATTTCCGTCAATGCAGCCAACGTGACATGCGACAAAGCGGGAGCCGGTAAGAGGACTTTTCACGAGTGAAGGTATTATAGCGCCACTCTAAAGCACTTTTTTATGGTATTCCGCCATACAATATAGTCATTAATTTTAAACGCTTAGAAAAACACAACGTTTTATTTTGTGTCACCAGCCTAGGTCGAGTTACACTAATCGAGTAACTGTGTTTAAATAGGGAAAACGAGGAAGTGTTTGGTTGCTTCTCTTTTTGGCCCATATTTAAAGCACTGGGCTAAGCTAAGTGCTAACATAGTTTTGTGGCAATACAGAGCGATAGAGTGCACGCACTGAGACGAGAGAGGTATGCATCAGCTCGCCTTAATTAAGGGAATAACATAGTTTAATATGAAAACCCGGTGGAGTATCCCTTTAAGGGTCCTTGTCTCATATACAGAATTTAAAGTCAGTCAGAGAGTTGTGGGAAATTTTTCCACACACCTTAACTATATATTGCCGGTATAGTTAACAATACGTTGTATTGCCTTAAAGGAAGTCTTGGTATACAAAAGGAACAGCGATAAGAGTAGCGATCGCATTAAGTAACACAATAACAGTAACAACACTTGATTTATGCCAACTTTCCTTCCAGTATCAGTGTTCTAAATCGATAATCAGTGAACTGAATGGCAAACTGGTCTTGGGGACAGGAATGAGGGCAAGATGCCAGCAAAAAAAAAAAAACATTTCCAGCCATTCTACATTTGTGAAACATTTTGAACCATTTGTGATGTCACTGCTGGCAAAATGACATGTTCATGTTGACATTAATTATGCATTATGGGCAACAGGTAGCAGTTGCTGTCGATAAAGTAGTCTTATTGCCAAATGGGAGAAAAAAAAAAAACACTGGGTGGCTTGTTTGTTTGAAGACATAGTTCTAAAAAACATACTGTACATTTCAGAGCAGATAGAAATGCTTGATGGGTGTTAACAGTAGCTTTACAGTGACGCTATTTTAAGACTCAAGTCAAGTATTCAGAATTAACAACTGTATTTTTTACGAAACGGGGGCTGCTTGCCAAACAAGTGTGCTAGCTTTGGAACATTGGCAGACATCTATCCAAAAAAATAAAAAGACAAATAAGGCATGAAAAAAAGACACTAAATCTTGCTGACACTTCCAGCAAAACATGAAACTCCAAAACAAAGTAGTTAAACGCATGTTAAATAGTTTTGAGTTTAAAAAAAAAAAAAACGTCTCTCTCAAACTGAGTGTCAGCAGGGAGGACTATCATTGTGAACCTGACCCTGGATCAGCTGGAAGACAAGCAGACAATGCTCACGAGTAACCTCAACATTTAAGAGCTGACAGCACAGACACAAGGCCATGGAAACCTGATCTCGGAAAAAGAGAGGGGCCCCGGGCCTCTAAAGGCGGCACTAGGTGACGTCATGGCCAAGGCTCTGAGGCTGGATCCAGTTACAGCCGCTTTTAGGTCATACAAGGGGGGCCACGGTTGTTAGGGGTGAAAGGCAGTGAGAGAGAGAGTCGTGGGGTTCACAGCTGAGGGGTTGCGATCCTGAATGAGTTACTGGCAGAAAGGGGAAAAGAGAGACACTGTTTTTCTCCGAATATTGGCCCTTAATCCTCTAAAATGTAACATTTCAAAACTATTTTTGAAAGAAGCACACTGTAAACTGCATTCAAAGTAACTTAAGGTTACTTTAAATTCCAGTCACAAGTTGCAGTGGGATACATGGGAATGTAATACAATTGGTTGTGGTTGTCTTAGTGACCTCTAAACTTGGATCAACTGATTATTCTAACTAGTATGAATAATAATTCTGTCAAGGAATTGGGCAAACAACATGTCTTCTGTTTAGTCAAGACTAAAAGGAAACTTTGAAGAACATGTTATTATTAAAGGAACAGTTCACTGAAGAAATTACAATTCTGTCATCATTTACTTACCCTTGTGTCATTCCAAACTTGTATGACTTTTGTTGTTCTGCTTAACAATATATATATATATATATATATATATATATATATATATATATAGAAGATTGATGGTAACCAAACGGTTTTAGCAATTTCTCAAAATACCTTCTCTTTTGTTCCCCAGGAAAAAGAAAGTCATTTGGAAAAACTTGAGGATGAGTAAATTAACTTTCATTGAATTTCTTTTTTTGGGTAAACAATCCCTTCGGGTGTATAATGAGCTCTCTAGCCAATCTCCATAATATTTGGGGCAAGATGAAGCTTGCATTTGTGTGGGCACAAATGAGAAAGCCTGTTTAATGCAAAATCTAGAAATAGCTAAATATTTGCAGTGAAGAGGGGACATGAAATAATACTGGAAAGAAAGAGAAAGTGGAATGAGGTCACTTGCTGGGCTTGAACCTGCATCACCTGCTTGTCTCCAATGTATCAAGAGTATGTGTGTGCGCTGCTGCTACTACTGCACTGATGCAAACCTCCATCAAGATCTGACTCAAAGGTCAGAAAGTTTACATTGGGAAAACCCAGCAAATGGTTGCATATTTATGTCACAAGCCATCATTAAGATGTTTAGAAGGTTTATCAAATGCAAATAAGGCAAAGCAAATAATTAGTTCTAATGCAAAAATCTTATGTTAAATGTTAAATAAAGTACATGTACTGCAGGGCTTTACCTTTTTGATGAATTCAGTGAGCATTTAAGACAATATGCATTGCAATTGTTGCTTCTGTGTTAATGATTCACTGCTGGCTAAAGTGCAAAGCAAATTCTTGTACAGGAAACAAACACAACACATTCCACACAAAAAAAAATATATCTTACTTTGTAAAACCAGATAGAAACCAAAGTACTTTTTTTATGAATGTATTAAAGCAACTACAAACAAAAAACAAGACTGACAGCGAAAAAGATAACTAAAATCCGTAACTGGCTGTGAATTTCAGCTCCGCTGCATCTGCAGTGTTGTGCGATAGAGAATTGATCAAAGGTATTACTGTGAAGCTGCTCACCATGGGAAGTTCATTCTGCAATCCACATGTCTTTCCTTGGATTCCTCCAAGTAATCCCAAATGTGCCTGTGAGAAGTGAAACAACCTGATTTTCTCTCACACACTCTTGTTGTCTGTCTCACCTAACTCTCTCTCTCTCTCTCTCTCTGAGCCCACATAAACACACACACAAACAAACACTGCTTATCTAAAGTGCAAAGGCCCTCGACCAGCAAATCAAAATACCAGTGGAGTTTTAAATCTGTGTGAGTATGCAAGAAGCCTCAAAAATTAACTGTTTGCCACACCTGCTAATGGTGGTTGAATTAAAAATAATTACTGGCCTTTATTTCTTAACGGCTATGAACCTATATTATGCATTAAAACAACTGAATTATTTAGAAGTGTTTTTTTTTTTTCATATTCACTTGTATATCATATAACCATTTTTTGTCTCGCTCTAAAACCTACAAACTCATTTAAGAAGAAAATAATGTGCATAATGTGCATTTTACTCTTCCAAATTGTTACCTCTAATTTGGCCTTTCATTTTGGACCATGGTATGAAGTGTCTTGACCACGTAGATTAAGCTTATTTCCCCCATGGAATAAAACAATTAAATATACTAATTGTGACTTTTTTTCTTACAATTGCAAGTTTACATCTCGCAATTTTGCCATTTTTTCTTGCAAATGCGAGTTTTATTTCTACCAATTGCGAGTTTATCTAACAATTCTGACTTTTTTTCCTCACAATTTATATCTCAAAAGTCTGAGAAAATAAGTCAGACTTATGAGATATATTCCAATTCTGAGGAAGAAATTACCTTTTTTATTTATGTGTGTATTTTATATATATTTTAAAAAATAAATAAATAAAACTAAAAATTAACCCCATATTTTTGAACAGTAGTGTAAGATAGAGCTAGGTATTGGTAACACACATTGTGATACAAGTCACTATGGAATACAACAAGAAATAATTGTGTTTGAAATTTTTCCAGATACACCAGAAAGTGTCTCAGTGTGTCAGAGAGACAGCGCATCTGTGGCATCAATCTCTAATAATGCTGTACGTGCCTCAGTTTTGTTGAGTGCCATGTCTAAGAAGTATCTCTGACCTCAAAGATAAATGTTGGTTTAGACTAGCTGCTGCTTCTTCATTATCTGAACTTCAAAAAATATATAAACAAAAAACAAAAATATGGACCAATGTAATATTGTAAGAAATAAGAAAAATGGAATTGTATCACCACAGCCCTAACTTAGATTCATCAGTGGCACTCGAGGCCCCATTTCTGCAGTGGTAAGAAGAGCTCATATGGCCATGTAAAGAATCAGAGCTCCAAACACTCCACAGATCCTCTGCCCTACTTTCTAGCTGCAACGAAACCTCTGTGTGGGTGTTGCATTCGCCCAAGCGGATCACACTGATTCCGCTCTTAATACCGAAATCAGTCTGTGATACCAAAAACAACAAGGTGAAAGCAAGCAATGGGTCTACAACCTAATCAATACTCAATGAGGAAAGGGGCAGGTTTTGATCTGCCAACAGCAAATTCGAATAAATGCTCAAGAAAAGTTCAACATGCCCATTAACACTTTAAAAAGACCAGGAAATTAGTTGCAGATGCTGATACAGTAACAATTTGTTAAGTGAAACCAAACCAGGAAGGAAAAGGCCTTTATTTTATTACGTCTCTTTCCTGGTTTCTAATGGTGCAGCTTAAGTCAATTCAGCTGATTTTAAAAGACAAGACTGTCAATATATATATATATATATGAAAAGTTCAGATGCAAAAGCCTCTAAATGCCATTTGAAATTTTCTTCTTTAATGATGATTTTTATCAAACTTGTATATTTAGGTTCAGTAATTTCACTTAAATGGCAATGATAATTACCCATTAATTGTTATTTAAGTGAAATTACTGAACGTAAATATACAAGTTTGATAAAAATCATCATTAAAGAAGAAAATTTCAAATGGCATTTAAAGGCTTTTGCATCTGAACTCTTCATATATATATATATATATATATATATATATATATATATATATATATATATATGCTTTGCTGTCAAAATATATGAAGAGTTCAGATGAAAAAGCCTCTAAGTGCCATTTGAAATTTTCTTCAAGAATGATCATTTTTATCAAGCTTGTATATTTAAGTTCAGTAATTTCAGTTCAATTGCAATGAGGATTACCTATTAATTGTCATTTAAGTGAAATTACTGAACTTGAATATATAAGCTTGATAAAAATCATCATTTTAGAAGAAAATTTCAAATGGCATTTAGAGGCTTTTGCATCTGAACTCTTCATATATGCGTGTTTGTTTTACTCTGCTGCTTTGCTATCAATATCGGATGACTTGTCTAACGTGAGCATTATGAAAGGGCTGAGGCTCGTGTTGACTTGAGAGAAGACACACTCTCTGACATGTGCCAGGCAGCGTTACACTAATGGCAAACATACTGTGAGAGACAGCGGGTGATAGCTTATTGTTAGTGATCTCTGGGACCAGCTGTGGCCTCCAGCTGTCCTGATGAAGACTGGGGTCAAAGGTCAGCTAGCCTGAGCACCACACCCACTCTGCTTTTTAGTAAAGGTTGCGGGTCAAAGTCTGTTAACCCACTAAATCTGAAGTCAAGTCAAATCAAGTCACCTTCATTTATATAGCGCTTTGAGAATGTTTCAAAGCAGCTTTACACTGCTAAAAAGAAATTGAAATAACAGATTGTGTTGGCTTTACAGCAGCTCTAGAATAAAGTTACTGTCGAGCTAAAGAGAGTTTTTAATTGATTCACTTCCATTGCAACAATCATTAGTTATTAACTTAGGGGCCGCTTAAACGACACCATTTTAACTGAAAACAGAAGACTTTTAATGTGGCCAAGCCGCTCATATGGACAACAACAGTGCTTGGTGGATCGAGAACGCAAACCCTAAAATAGGTTCCAAGGTGCAAGTTTAGAATTTTTATTTAAAACGTTACCATCTCTGTGTAAATTTCAAAAAGTGAATCTGTGAAAACGGTGGCGGCGTGCACATTCATATTATAAGTTTAGCAATAGGTGTATGGATGTTTGAATATAGTTGATTTTCCCTCCCTCAGTTTGCTGTGCAAAACCGTAGTTAAGCTAATGTTTTCCTAGACTAAACTACAAGTTATCCAAACCAATGAGAAAAATGTAACAAATCAAGGATGAAATTTTGTATAAATTAGTTGGCAATAAATTAGTTAAAATACTGGCCCATGTATTCTATTGCCATAAATGTTACTGTTAATCATAATCATACTACCATTCAGGCATTTTTTCTTTTCTTTTTTTTTTTTTACAAAATTAATACTTTTTTAAAAACATGCACGAAAACCGATTAAAACTGACAGTAAAGACTTTTACATTGTTACAAAAAAATTGAATAATTATTATTTAATAATTATGTTTCACAATTGTTTTACTGTATACAAACAAATTCTTTCAAACTTCTTTCAAAAACTTTGAAGTATTTTTATATTATATTACTGCAGAGTGAGAAGTAGAATAGGATCAAAACACATCACCTTCAAGACTCAAACCAGTTTTACTAGCATGAACATCAGAGTTTTGGAGCAAATTTTCCAACTGTGTTAAGCTATTCTCATATATGTTATAATTTAACAAAATTGAAGAGAGAGACAAAAAAGTAAGACTGATAGACAGACAGCTCCACAGACCTTTATCTCTCCCAGGTTCTATATTTGGAAAAGTACTGTGTCACCACTTGTCTGAGAACACAACACAGCCACCCCAGTAAAGGCTTCACTGTGTTAACATCATGTCAGTGCTCTTGACATATCACTGTTTGTATTAAAGAGCAGGGCAGCAGGCTAAATTTGGAACAGACCAGAAGAGAAGCTGGACATGACTATAGAGCTCCTCAACACAAGGTTGGACAAACTTTAAAAGGAAATATCCAAGACTGAATGCAAATTCAAGTGTACCTCATTAACTGTATGTACAGTGCACTTTCTCTGCCATGGGGTATAAGGGTTTTGGTCCTATGCCCTATAGGGTTGCTGGGGATTGTTGGGTTCATTGTTGGTGTATTTATGATGTCTGTCTTTTGGTTATTTATATGTACCAAGAGTTGTACCAAGAAAAATTCCATCAACTTTGTTGACATGGCAATAAATTATTGAAACCTGAAATTACAAGTACACAAACAACACAAATATTTCCTTTAAAAAAAAAAGAATTTCAGAATAAAATAATGCTTGTACACGTGTTGTCTTTCTCTATGGTTTACGTTCACGGAATCGGGACAGTGACAGTTCCAACTGCCCAGAACATCTTTCTCACGCTGAGAGGTGCACCTGCATCTGTCATGTTAACATAAAAAATATCGATTCATATCTTTTGCAAATCAATATCGAATCAACCACATTTAAAAAAAGTATTAATTGACAATATCAAGTATCAAGTATCAATATCCTAATATCAAGCACATCCCACAGTATACTTCATAACACAACAGTCATATTACATGATTTGACTACTTAGGACGTTAAGTTTGGACTTTTAATGTGGGGTAAAAAAGAGCACTACAAAGAAATAACAAAATGAGGCACAATAATCATTTTATCTCAATGACCATTGGAAGTCAAAATCGAAACTCAATTAATCGAAATTCAATTAATAGCACGGCCCTATTATTTATTATGTTCATTCATTTAGAAACCCTGCACTTTTCAATTCCAATATAAATGCTGTTCTTGTATTCATATTAAGCGCAGCCAACAAGTCTGTGCATGTGCTATGGAATCTGCTTCTGTGTCGATATTCAAATCCATATCACAAGGAGTATGTGACGGTACATCAGCGTATCAATATGTCGAACACAGCCCTAATAGATGGTGTTAATACCCAATAACCACTGCAATGTTCTGACAAAACAGTGCTCCCAAAATGTTTCTGGGAAAGGGAAAATAGTTAAAAGTGTTTTGCTTTAGTAAACACTAAAGATACAAAAATCATAGAGATGACATTGGGTGAAGCACTCGTACCTGTTCTGCTCCTCTAGTTTGGCCAACAGCTCCACATCATCTGGGCTGAGCTGGGACGGGGAGGCTGAGGAGGGCGAGGACAGTGAGGCAGTGGATGAAGCCACAGTGGTGTGCAGCGAGGAGGGCGTGGCCACCTGACTAGCCATCTGACTCACAGTATGCGACACTGAGTTCTTCACCCATGAAAGAGTCGAACTCAGCTTGCCTGCTACCTTGTCTGTCGCCACCTGTGGAAAAATAAAATTAAGATCATTTAAGTGGGAAAACAAAAAAACAAAATCCAATTACATTGGATTCAGAAAAGTCTTCTAAAAGTCTTGACTCTTACAAACTAACGGTATGCCATGAGATGTTTCTTGTTCTAAATTGGGCTTCTTGATTTTAGATAATATTTAATTTATCAAATCACTTGAAAATTTCAGGATTTAGCCTGAAATATTATATAAAAAAAATAAAAAAAATTGCCTAAAAAATTATAACTAATATTTAAAATGATCCATCATCATGCTCTTCTAGATAAAGTGTGTTTATAGTAAAAAAAATATTATGTAAGCTACATAAAATGGCATTATTTTGAACAATGAGACACAAAATTAAAACAGACATTCTTGTTTATGAAAAAATTATAAAAATCTACAGAAGCAACTGCAGGCTTTGACCAACCAGAACAATATTATAATTAATGTAAAGCAACATTTTCATATTTTGAACAATGAGACATGAATTAAAAAGGTATATCAGAACATCTGAATTAGATCTAGTAAACATCATCTCAACAATGTTGCAGGATGTCCACAACACTACCAATCAGCAAAATCTGCAAAATCTGTGCAGATTCAGAATGTGTTTGTGTTACTACAATCTTACAAATTGTGAAATTAACAGGCCATTTCTGCAATGAGATGTTTTAAAAACTGAAGCTTGAGGAACGGTTTTAACTTTGTTGGTGAGGATGCTGGGATGGCGTGAAAGACCGATAATTCCCTTACACAGACATTCCTGTGTATGAAAAAAATCAGGTCAGTGAAAAAACAGCTTTTCCCTGTCCAAAATCTGGATGAAGACTGATTTGAATGTGGCAAAGTTTGTATTGCCACAAACAAAACCACTGGTTTTCATCCTTGGTTTGGACTGTAAAGTGTCATTCCTGACTTTCACTTATATACCATTTTTTGGATTTGCTAAAAAAATATTTAATAAAAAAAAAAAAACCTACAAGCACTATTTTCAAGACTATTAAAGCAATAGCTCAACCATGATTGATGTGACTGGTTTTGTGGTTCAGGGTAGGTTCACTTTAATTTGACTTTACCTTATTTTCATTACTAGTGGCAACAAAAGATACTAAACAATAGCCTGGCACGCCAGACCTACATCAATATGTTAGGTCTGGGAACTCACAATTGGCGTACCTCAATCCGAGGGGCAGGATAAACGGTTGTCTTTTAATATCCCTCTGCACGCAATAGAATACTGCAACAACAAACCAGAGCAACGAACGGCTGTGGCTGAGTGAGTCCCATACATTTTCCCACTGGAGGAGCTAGTTGATTTATTAAACTTTTTTTAATAAATCAACTAAATCAACTTTTCTGTACCTCCAAATACTTTCAAGTTCACCTACGTATTGCCACCATACACATCAGCATAAATGCCCCTGATAAATGATTTGTTATACAAACCACACCGTTATAACATAAAAAAGAGGATAACTTACGGCTATGCATGGTTTGGCATGACTGCACGCAAAGTGCGCTTCCATAATAATTCCTAAAAGGCTAACATCAGTTCATCGCGATCTCACACATCTCTGTTATTATCAATGAATCTTTCATAATATCTACACTTTGTTTGTTATAATTTGAGGATTTGCCAGCAAACAGAATTCATAACTGAACAAAAAGTCCGTTTTGAGCGGTGAGGGAAGTCTGTCATATATGCTTCTGATTGGCCATTGCGTTCCTAGAAATCAACACATATCTGTGATTGGCTACATCGCTCAACGCTGCAAACATGTTATTAATAGAAACTCTGGCATGTAAATCGTTTCTATTTTGTTTTAGTTGTTCTTGTTGCTTTTCTGCAACAGATGTTTTAGGCTATTCATTAGATATTTCTAGTTTGCGGAAGTTGTACGAATCGTTTTAGTTTCCCTCAACCCGAACACATAGTGAGAGTGAGTGTATTATTACCACCACCCGCGCTCCCTCTTATGACGTCTTTACCCAGTTACTGTAAAAAACAAGCTACCTTTGAAGAAACCCCAATAAATGTTATTTTAATGCATTTTAAGACAGATATTTTTAAATATATACATAGTGAGCACTTTAATTTACATATTAATTGATTGTGGTGGTTAACCTGCAATTTACACTTTAAGTGGCATTCTCTAAACTCCAAGTCTTCCAAAGTCGCAGCCAAAGTTCGAAAGACCGCTGTTCGCCAGCAGCATCTTGTTTGTTTTCAAGTAGCAGGGAAATCAACTATGGAAACCACGGAGCAGAACTGTCACAACTCTGCCGTCATTGTGTTAAGCCCGCCCATCAACTCTATACACGATGTGATTGGCCTGACCAGAGTTTGGTTTTTCCACTTCGAAAGCCAACGGAGAGTTGCTAGACCACACTTTGCTGCAAAATAATTTTTTGCCGCTAGGGTGCATCTAGATTTCTAGACTAACTAAACAATCCAAATAACAGAGAATTACATTGAGTTTAAAAGTAAATTGCCAGTAACATCATTCAAGATAATGTTACTTGTCCAAAAAGAAAAATGTCTAAAACAAAAATGTCTGGTAAAATTAAGCATTCATTATAGCCTATAATGTGGCTTTAAGGCTTAATAAGTCAGTGAAGTTTTGGTCTTAGCACATTTCTCCAATAAGATTGAATATATTTGGCAAAATCATTATTCATCTGTCATAAAACACAGCATCCATAAAAAAATAAGTAAATCACCCTTTGTAATCATCTGACAATAAAAGACATCCTTGCAGACATAAACTGCTCCATGACATGAGACATCACTTTTGTTTGACATCAACTTCAAAAGTGGCTCTTTGAAAGACTTGGATTTGATTTTATTGTATTTTAGTCGACGTCCACAGCTTTGAGGTCATCTATATGCCAGTGCACTCCTAAAACTTGGGAAAATAGTTTAGCAGATACAGACATTTGCTGTAATTCAATTTGCTTAATCTTATATAACCGTAATATTGAGGTGTCATCTTCCAGTTGATGTGGGCAAGTCCAAATGTTTATCCAATAAAATAAAAGAAAAAAAGTCCCTTACCCCAAAACCAAATACTTGTCTCTGACTTAACATAGCAAAGCAAGTATCAAACCATGATCCATGGCCAACAACCTTTAGACATAAAAAAAAACACCTTCCTCTTTCAATGAAAAATAGGCTACATCAGCACAGGAAAGAAAACTGTACTTGTAAAGCCATTTCATGTGCTCGTTAAACTGCTATGTAAAGGGTTTTATGAAACACTTATACCTTACAGCTACAAAAGCAAAATGGTTTACTAGGTCATTTGTTAGGCGTGTATACTGTAGATTGGAAACAAATGTTGTTTGTCATTCTATATTTTCAAAAGATGACCTCTAGAAGGTTTGGACGAAGGGAATATTTGGACATTTGTGTTCACTTTCCACCGGAACGGCAATAAAAACACTGACTCACTAAAACTGAACCGCACTGAACCTAGTGAAGACATTAAAAAGGCACAAAGCAGAATCTTGTGTCAACTGACTTTACGAAAAACCTTAAGACAACTAAGAGCAGCAGGCCATGACAGTGTAACATTAGAAAGGCAAGAATCCTCCTCCTCCATCTAGGATTTCCTTGGTGTACTTTGCTCTTACCTGAAGAAAGATGTCACCCTAACTGAGGTCCTTGCTAATTCCATAAACAAATCCACAGGAGAAAAATAACGCTATTTGAAGACAGGATTCTCTTGTGCGGTCTTCTGGGACGTTTAGTAGATTCCAAAGTCACACTGTTGTCTAGGTGTCACCTGGGGTCAAAGTGCTCATGTAGAAGACACAGAGGCAGCTGTAAAGTAGACAGAAGCAGTTGTATAAGCTTCTGCCTTGCCTTTTACAGCTGTAACTCTAATACATGCCTTGGAATTCACCCGACAGAGAAAAAAAAAAAAACCTTCCCTGCAAAACCTCTGTGACGTCTGAGCTTTGCGACATAAGTGAGCTGTAATGATAAACCCAGGGGAAGTCTACCTCTTTACAACAAAGCAGGTTTCTCATTTGCATGTGGGACTTCTCTGAATCCTCTATAAGACAGATCACGTTTCCTCTTGCGATCTCCATTTCTGAAAAATTATTATGACCACACGCCTATGCATGGCTTCTGTGGTATTACAAACCACCACCAAAAAAAAAATGTTATAGTATTCCCCAGCAAAATGCCTAGAAATGACTCAAAGCAGTTAAAGTTGGAAACACCCTTTCTTAGATAGCGTTACAGTCAGAAGAGTGACACAGAAAGAGGCGGGGCATAGATAGGAAGATAAAGAAAAAAAGTGCAGATACAAATGTACGAGCAGTCAAGTATTAGCAGGTATATCTGATATTAAAAAAAATGTATATATTTCACAACTTATATCTACACTGATTCCTTGTAATATTACAATATAATATACAATATACATTAACATTTTTTAAATACTTTTTTTTTGCTAAATAAGTTCAGCCCAAATTTAGATCAAGTCTTATAAAGTCTGCTCAAAGCTTTCTAGCAAAATATTATTTACATTTGTAGCACAGGTAAGACCAGTAACAGCTGAAGCTCTTAAAAACGTTCATCCCCTTCATGCAAATATCAGTTTTGCATGTTCTGATATTGAAAACATTATTATTATTAATAATAATAATAATAATAAATCACAACAATAATTCAGCAACAAAAACAACGAGCTACATGCACACCACAGCACAATACGGTCAGCTGCTATCACTTCCAAACTTACATTAAAGACTGAGCACCTATCATGGATTTTTGAAAATGACTGTTCATGTAGTGTGGAATATAGCTCTAAGGGAATGAAATCATCCTGCAAAGATTTATATCTGAAAGTGCACCGTATGTAAAGTTATTGTCTTTCAAAAGTGAGAGTCGACTCTGAGTCTATGAAATGAATTGTTTTTGAAACGAGTCATTAACTGTTACATCGTGACCTAGATAGGTCATTGGCTGCTCCCAACAA